AAATTCTAACCAAAATTCTTTAATTGTACACCTAGGCAACCGGTGTGGTTTGTTGAACTGATTGCTGAGTTCGAATGCTTGACTTGCTCATCGCCATTTTTGCTTGGCGCTCGTTTCGGTTGCAACTCGCAACTGCCCTGTGTGCTGTGCTTGCTCCGTTCCCCTAGCTAGAGCGTCCACGGTGTCGTTCTTTTATAGCTAGATAACAGGGAATCTTTTACTGTACCAATAAAAGTTTCCCTGCAACTCGATCCGTCTTCTCGAATCGCTCTCTGGGCTCCCGGTACAGGCGACCCTCTAAATTGGTGACCCCGACTCCGGAACAATCTCAGCGCCGGATATTTCGAACTTTTCTCCGGTGAGCTCGTTCCATTTATTTTTCATATTTTCGGTTTATTTTTGCATACGGTAGCCTATTTTTGCGTCATTTTTTAAGCCATGGAATCTGTAGACCATAAGGTAGAGTCTCTGCTTAGCGTTGTATCTCTCTCTGTGCCACCTTTTTGGGACATGGATCCTCTTTTGTGGTTCGCTCATCTTGAGGCTGAGTTTTACAACCACAGAATCACTTCCGACTACGCGAAGTATTGCAAGCTCCTGTCCTATCTCCCCAAGGAGATATCAATGCAGGTTCGTGACGTTATCATTTCTCAGACCGAAAACCGCTATGAGGCTCTCAAGGAGGCCACGATTAAGCGTGTTATGCCCTCTGAGAAAGTTCGCCTGCAGCAGCTTTTCAGGGATCTGCAGCTGGGCGACAAACTGCCCTCAACCCTGCTACGAGAGATGCAGCAACTCCTTGGTTCCTCAACCATGGACGAGACTTTACTTCGCGAACTATGGCTACAACGGCTACCGGAAAACACGCAAGCGATTCTCGCTACAGTGAGCTCCGTTTCGCTCACTCAACTAGCAGATTTAGCGGATCGAGTTATTGAACGATCACAGCCACAAGCCGACGCCAGCAAGATCAATGCCGTCGCGTCCCAGGGCACTTCTATCACTGGCTTACAGTCAACTATAGAAGCCCTGCAAACACAAGTTGCGACACTTAGTCGCCAGGTTCAACAGCTTACTATGAACCGTCGTCGTCATAGCCGCTCAAAATCGCCCTGCAAACGTTCTAAGTCTAGCAACAGGCAGGCTAGCTGTTGGTACCATCAGCGTTTTGGTACCGCAGCTCGTAAATGTGTCAAGCCTTGCAACTTCGCCGAGAAGCAGGGAAACTTCTCGGCCGGTCCGTAACGGCGACGGACGCGACCGGCCAACACCAAAGTCGCCTCATCCGCGTTAGGGATTTAACTTCCGGCACCGAGTTTCTAGTCGACACTGGTGCCGAAGTTAGCGTTATACCCCGTAGCCCAGATGAGGTCGTCTCGCCATCGCCGACCAAGCTGCGTGCCGCCAATGGCACACCAATCGCAACTTTCGGCGAAAAGCTGCTAACGCTCAATTTAGGCCTCCGGCGAACCTTTCGCTGGCCTTTCATAATCGCTGCCGTGCCTTTCGCCATCATAGGCATAGACTTTCTTCAACGCTTCGACCTCATCGTCGACGCTAAAAGGAGGAAGCTTATCGAGTCTAGGACACAGCTCAGTGTTATCGGGACTAGCGCCAATGTGGCTGCTATCACTCCCATTCGTGTCCTACCTCAAGCTTCAAAACCTTTTATAGAACTTTTCAGCAAGCACCCTAAACTCGTTCGCGTCCTGAACGACTTGCCTCCTGCGACATCAAACGTCATGCATTACATTTGCACTAAGGGCCCACCTGTTTCGGCCCGGCCTCGCAGACTAGCCCCGGAGAAGCTCAAAACAGATAAAGCGGAATTCGAGCAAATGCTCGAACTGGGAATCATCCGCCCGTCCAAAAGTCCATGGGCATCACCATTACACATGGTGCCTAAGAAATCCGGTGACTGGCGCCCCTGTGGTGACTACAGGGCACTTAACAAAGTAACCGTCCCGGATAAATACCCTATTCCGCACATGCACGACTTGACCTCAGCTCTAGCTGGCAAGTCTATCTTCAGCAAAGTCGACTTAGTTCGTGCCTACCACAAGATACCTGTCGCGCCAGATGACATTGCTAAAACAGCAGTCATCACGCCATTCGGCCTATTCGAGTACCTCAGAATGCCTTTCGGCCTCAGCAACGGTGCCCAAACTTTTCAGCGTTTCATTCATGAGGTAACGCGAGGACTCGAAGGCATTTACCCTTATTTAGATGACATACTCATCGCCAGCTCTTCCAACGAGGAACATCTTCATCACCTCGACGCACTCTTTCAACGCTTGACACAGCATGGGGTTACCGTCAACCCCGATAAATGCGAGCTTGGTTAAAGTTCCATCGACTTTCTTGGCCACCGCATATCCGCCTCTGGTATCGAAGCTCTGCCAGACAAAATTCAGGCTCTGAAGGACTATCCTGCTCCCAATTCCTTCAAGCAGTTACGCCGATTCCTTGGCCTGGTTAACTATTATAGACGCTTTATTCCTAACTGCGCGAGCATTGTTCAACCAATGACTGACTTGCTCCGCGGTAAACAACGCTCTTTTCACTTTACAGACGACGCTAAATTGTCTTTCGAGAAGCTCAAAGACGCTATCTCCAACATAGCGCTTCTCGCCCATCCAGACACGTCTGCATCACTCTCCCTGACAACTGACGCCTCTGACACTGCCGTCGAATCAGTTCTTAAGCAACTCATCGACCATCGATGGATACCTCTAGGTTTTTTCTCGAAATGTTTACAACCCTGCCGAATCGCGTTACAGCACCTTCGGTAGGGAACTGTTAGCTATCTACCTAGGTATCCGACATTTCCGTCACTATCTCGAAGGTCGACATTTCACCGTCTTCACCGACCACAAGCCATTGATCTACGCAATCAATGGCGCAACAGACAAGTATTCTCCGCGGGAAACTAGACTACGTTACTCAGTTTACGACAGACGTACGACATGTCTCAGGTGCTCTCAATCCCGTCGCGGATGCGCTTTCACGCATTCAGCAGATCAGCTTATCGCCTGGCACCAACATTGACCTAGCCGCTATGGCTGCTGCCCAACAAGCTGATCCCGACTTAGGCAAGCTACGACGCAACACCACTGAGACGATCACCATTGATCGACTCAAGCCAGCATTCCTCGACAAGTCTGACTCTTCGGTGCAACAAGCACCTTCACAGCCTGTGCCATCACAGCTCGCACCGCAACCTCAGACGAGTCAGTCCGCTCCAGCAGAACCGACAACCTCAACCGACAGTACTCCTACTCGCCCTACTATCAATCGACGCGGTAGGAAGCTCAAGCCTCCAGTTCGTTTTTCAGACTTTGTTAGCACTTACTATTTTACGTAGAACGTGCCTTCGAAATTTTCTGCTCTTACCAAACACTTTTGAAAATCCACAAAAAAGATCAAAACGTTTCGAAATTACCAAAAAAGAACAAAATCTTTTGAAAACCCAAAAACAGCTTTGCACGTTTTCTGCTTTGCACCCTTTTGTGTATTGCTATGCATTTATGCTGCTTTTTCATTTTGCTTTCCATATACACCGTCGACTGGTTGCACCTCGGTTGCACTTTTCGCTGGATCTCCCCACGTCAACTGGAAGTGGAAACGAACCTTCCTGCTCAACCGCCTACGTGAACTTTACTAACTGTCCCCCCACAAACAGTTTTTTACCGTTTCGACACCGTAGGGAGGACACGGGTGGGAGCCCGCTAGGGTCCGATTGCATGGTTCTCCCCCAGCAGCTGCATCAGGTTTCACAACCTGGTCTCGCAGAAGGCTGGCCCGCGACGGACAGTCCTCACGTAGATCGAAGGACTGCTTACACAGTCCCTTCTGGGAGAGGGCTATGTAGCAGTCTGGAGATTCCCCGGTTTGCCTGTGTAAAATTCTAATCAAAATTCTTTAATTGTACACCTAGGCAACCGGTGTGGTTTGTTGAACGGATTGCTGAGTTCGAATGCTTTACTTGCTCATCGCCATTTTTGCTTGGCGCTCGCTTCGGTTGCAACGCGCAACTGCCCTGTGTGCTGTGCTTGATCCGTTCCCCTAGCTAGAGCGTCCACGGTGTCGTTCTTTTATAGCTAGATAACAGGGAATCTTTTACTGTACCAATAAATGTTTCCCTGCAACTCGATCCGTTTTCTCGAATCGCTCTCTGGGCTCCCGGTACAGGCAACCCTCTAAATTGGTGACCCCGGATCCGGAACAATCTCAACGCCGGATATTTCGAACTTTTCTCCGGTGAGCTCGTTCCATTTATTTTTCATATTTTCTGGTTTTATTTTTGCATACGGTAGCCTAATTTTTCGCGTCATTTTTTAAGCCATGGAATCTGTAGACCATAAGGTAGAGTCTCTGCTAAGCGTTGTACCTCTCTCTGTTCCACCTTTTTGGGACATAGATCCTCTTTTGTGGTTCGCTCTTCTTGAGGCTGAGTTTTACAACCACAGAATCACTTCCGACTACGCGAAGTATTGCAAGCTCCTGTCCTATCTCCCCAAGGAGATATCAATGCAGGTTCGTGATGTCATCATTTCTCAGACCGAAAACCGCTATGAGGCTCTCAAGGAGGCCACGATTAAGCGTGTTATGCCCTCTGAGAAAGTTCGCCTGCAGCAGCTTTTCAGGGATCTGCAGCTGGGCGACAAACTGCCCTCAACCCTGCTACGTGAGATGCAGCAACTCCTTGGTTCCTCAACCATGGACGAGACTTTACTTCGCGAACTATGGCTACAACGGCTACCGGAAAACACGCAAGCGATTCTTGCTACAGTGAGCTCCGTTTCGCTCACTCAACTAGCAGACTTAGCGGATCGAGTTATTGAACGATCACAGCCACAAGCCGACGCCAGCAAGATGAATGCCGTCGCGTCCCAGGGCACTTCTATCACGGGCTTACAGTCAACTATAGAAGCCCTGCAAACACAAGTTGCGACACTTAGTCGCCAGGTGCAACAGCTTACTATGACCCGTCGTCGTCCTAGCCGATCAAAATCGCCCTGCAAACGTTCTAAGTCTAGCAACAGGCAAGCTAGCTGTTGGTACCACCAGCGTTTTGGTACCGCAGCTCGTAAATGTATCAAACCTTGCAACTTTGCCGAGAAGCAGGGAAACCTCGGCCGTTCCGTAACGGCGACGGACGCGACCGGCCAACACCAAAGTCGCCTCATCCGCGTTAGGGATTTAACTTCTGGCACCGAGTTTCTAGTCGACACTGGCGCCGAAGTTAGTGTTATACCCCGTAGCCCAAATGAGGTCGTCTCACCATCGCCGACCAAGCTGCGTGCCGCCAATGGCACACCAATCGCAACTTTCGGCGAAAAGCTGCTAACGCTCAACTTAGGCCTCCGGCGAACCTTTCGCTGGCCTTTCATAATCGCTGCTGTGCCTTTCGCCATCATAGGCATAGACTTTCTGCAACGCTTCGACCTCATCGTCGACGCTAAAAGGAAGAAGCTTATCGATTCCAGGACACAGCTCAGTATTATCGGGACTAGCGCCAACGTGGCTGCTATCACCCCCATTCGTGTCCTACCTCAAGCTTCACAGCCTTTTCTAGAACTTTTCAGCAAGCACCCTAAACTCGTTCGCGTCCTGAACGACTTGCCTCCTGTGACGTCCAACGTCATGCATCACATCTGCACTAAGGGCCCACCTGTTTCGGCCCGCCCTCGCCGACTAGCCCCGGACAAGCTCAAGGCTGCTAAGGCGGAATTCGAGCAAATGCTCGAACTGGGAATCATCCGCCCGTCCAAAAGTCCATGGGCCTCACCATTACACATGGTGCCTAAGAAATCCGGTGACTGGCGCCCCTGTGGTGACTACAGGGCACTTAACAAAGTTACCGTCCCGGATAAATACCCTATTCCGCACATGCACGACTTGACCTCAGCTCTAGCTGGCAAGTCTATCTTTAGCAAAGTCGACTTAGTTCGCGCCTATCACCAGATACCTGTCGCGCCAGATGACATTGCTAAAACAGCAGTCATCACGCCATTCGGCCTATTCGAGTACCTCAGAATGCCTTTCGGCCTCAGCAACGCTGCCCAAACTTTTCAGCGTTTCATTCATGAGGTAACGCGAGGACTCGAAGGCGTTTATCCTTATCTAGATGACATTCTTATCGCGAGCTCTTCTGATGAAGAACATCTTCATCAACTCGACGCTCTCTTCCAACGCTTAACCCAGCATGGGGTTACCGTCAACCCCGATAAATGCGAGCTTGGTCAATGTTCCATCGACTTTCTTGGCCACCGCATATCCGCCTCTGGTATTGAAGCTCTGCCAGACAAAATCCAGGCACTGAAGGACTACCCTGCTCCCAGTTCCTTCAAGCAGTTACGCCGATTTCTTGGCCTGGTTAACTATTATAGACGTTTTATTCCTAACTGCGCGAGCATTGTTCAACCAATGACTGACTTGCTCCGCGGTAAACAACGCTCTTTTCACTTTACCGACGACGCTAAATTGTCTTTCGAGAAGCTCAAAGACGCTATCTCCAACATAGCGCTTCTCGCCCATCCAGACACATCAGCACCACTCTCCCTGACGACTGACGCATCCGACACTGCCGTTGTAGGACTATTTAATACTAGTCCGAGACGATGCGCGGAATTAAGCGCGGATGTCAGAAGGCAATTGGAGTCGGACACAGCGGACTGTATTCGATGGGCTACAACAAGAAGCGGACGGATGAAGCGAGGCAAGAGCGTACACGTGAGCGCGGGGACTTACAAGGCAGTTGTGTGTCGAGCCGGTTGTAAGATTAAAACAAGGAGGAGTAATGTACAATCGGTCAACAAGTAAATTGTACATGAAAGATAAGAGTTATCTTTTTGGGCGCTACACCGTCGGTGCAGTTCTTCAGCAACTCATCGACCATCGATGGATAACTCTAGGTTTCTTCTCGAAACGTTTACAACCTGCCGAATCGCGTTACAGCACCTTCGGTAGGGAACTGTTAGCTATCTACCTAGGTATCCGACATTTCCGTCACTACCTCGAAGGTCGACATTTCACCGTCTTCACCGACCACAAGCCATTGATCTACGCAATCAATGGCGCAACAGACAAGTATTCTCCGCGGGAAACTAGACACCTAGACTACGTTTCTCAGTTTACGATAGACGTACATGTCTCAGGTGCTCTCAATCCCGTCGCGGATGCGCTTTCACGCATTCAACAGATCAGCTTATCGCCTGGCACCAACATTGATCTAGCCGCTATGGCTGCTGCCCAACAAGCTGGTCCCGGCATAAGCAAGCTACGACGCAACACCACTGAGACGATCACCATCGATCGACTCAAGCCAGCATTTCTCGACAAGTCTGACTCGCCGGTGCAACCAGCACCTTCACAGCCGGCACCGCAAACGCACACGAGTCAGCCCGCTCCAGCCGAACCGACAAACACAACCGACAGCACTCCTACCCGCCCTACTCTCAATCGACGCGGTAGGAAACTCAAGCCTCCAGTTCGTTTTTCAGACTTTGTCAGCACTTAATATTTTACGTAGAACGTGCCTTCGAAATTTTCTGCTCTTATCAAACGTTTTTAAAAATCCACAAAAAAGATCAAAACGTTTTGAAACTAGCAAAAAAGAGCAAAACCTTTTGAA